CAAATTTCGCAACATTTTTGATGAATTTAAAATAAGCCCAAAAAATGTGATGGTACCCCTAGAGCTCGACACAAAAACTAAAAAAATTATAATTTAGACGTTATTGACAAGTACTTTTGACATGAAAATTTTAGAAAGGATTTTAAATTCAAATAGAAAGATCCATGTCAAATTTCGCAACGTTTTTGATGAATTTTAAAATTTTTCTAAAAAATGTGATGGTACCCCTAGAGCTCGAGGCCATAACTAAAAAATTATAATTTAGACATTATAGACAAGTATTTTTGTCATGAAACTTTTACAAAGGATTTTACATGCAAATAGAAACATCCATGTCAAATTTCGTAACTTTTTTTATGAATTTAAAATTTGGCCAAAAAATGTGATGGTACCCTTAGAGCTCAAGGCCAAAATTAAAAAACTTATAATTTAGACATTATTGACAAATTATTTTGACATGAAACTTTTAAAAATTATTTTACATGCAAACATAAACATCCATGTCAAATTTCACAACTTTTTTGATGAATTTAAAATCTGGCCAAATAATGTGATGGTACCCCTAGAGCTCGAGGCCAAAATTAAAAAAATTATAATTTAGACATTATTGAAAAATACTTTTGACCTGAAAGTTTTACAAATGATTTTACATGCAAATAGAAATATCCATGTCAAATTTCACAACTTTTTTGATGAATTTAAAATCTGGCCAAAAAATGTGATGGTTCCCCTAGAGCTCGAGACCAAAATTAAAAAAATTATAATTTAGAAATTATTGACAAATACTTTTGACATGAAACTTTTACAAATGATTTTACATGCAAATAGAAACATCCATGTCAAATTTCGCAACTTTTTTTATGAATTTAAAATTTGGCCAAAAAATATGATGGAACCCTAGAGCTCGAGGTCAAAACTAAAAAAAAATTATAATTTAGACATTATTGACAAATACTTTTGACATCAATTTTTTACAAATAAATTTACATGCAAATAGAATATCAATGTCAAATTTTGCAACTTTTTTGATGAATTTTAAAATTTTGCCAAAAAATGTGATGGTATTCCTAGAGCTCGAGGCCGAAACTAAAAAATTATAATTTAGACATTATAGAAGAGTATTTTTGACATGAAACTTTTACAAATGATTTTACATGCAAATAGAAACATCCATGTCAAATTTCGCAACTTTTTTGATGATTTAAAATTTGGCCAAAAAATGTGATGGTATCCTAAAGCTCGAGGCCAAAATTAAAAAACTTATAATTTAGATTTGACAAATACTTTTGACATGAAACTTTTATAAATGATTTTACATGCAAACAGAAACATCCATGTCAAATTTCGCAACTTTTTTTATGAATTTAAAAAATGGCCAAAGAATGTGATGGAACCCCTAGAACTCGAAGTAAAAACTAAAAAATTTAAAAATTAGACATTATTGACAAGTACTTTTGAAATGAAACTTTACAAAGGATTTTACGTGAAAATAGAAACGTCCATGTCAAATTTCACAACTTCTTTGATGAATTTAAAATTTGGCCAAAAAAATGTGATGGTACCCCCTAGAGCTCGAGGCAAAAATTAAAAAAATTATAATTTAGACATTATTGACAAATACTTTTGACATGAAACTTTTACAAATGATTTTACATGCAAATAGAAACATCCATGTCAACTTTCACAACTTCTTTGATGAATTTAAAATTTGCCCAAAAAATATGATGTACCCTTAGAGCTCGAGGCCAAAACAAAAAAAATATAATTTAGACATTATTGACAAGTATTTTTGACATTAAACTCTTAGAAAGGATTTTCATGCAAATAGAAACATCCATGTCAAATTTTGCAACGTTTTTGATAAATTTAAAATATGCCCAAAAGATGTGATGGTACCCCTAGAGCTCGAGGCAAAAACTAAAATAAATTATAATTTTGACGTTTTTGACAAGTATTTTTTATATGAAACTTTTACAAATGATTTTACTTGCAAATAGAAACATCCACGTCAAATTTCGCAACTTTTTTTATAAATTTAAAATTTGGCCAAAAAATGTGATGGAACCCCTAGAGCTCGAGGTCAAAACTAAAACAAATTATAACTTAGACATTATTGATAAATACTTTTGACATCAAACCTTTACAAATGACTTTACATGCAAATAGAAACATCAATGTCAAATTTTGTAACTTTTTTGATGAATTTAAAATTTGGCCAAAAAATGTGATGGTACCCTAAAGCTCAAGGCCATAACTAAAAAAAATTACAATTTAGACATTATTGACAAATACTTTTGACATCAAACTTTTACAAATGATTTGACATGCAAATAGAAACATCCATGTCAAATTTTGCAACTTTTTTGATGAATTTAAAATTTGGCCAAAAAATGTGATGGAACCCATAGAATTCGAGACCAAAACTAAAAAAAAATTATAATTTAGACATTATTGACAAGTACTTTTGAAATGAAACTCTACAATATATTTTACATGAAAATAGAAACATACATGTCAAATTTCACAACTTCTAAAATGAATTTAAAATTTACACAAAAAATGTGATGTACCCCTAGAGCTCGAGGCCAAAACAAAAAAAATATAATTTATACATTATTGACAAGTATTTTTGATATTAAACTTTTAGAAAAGATTTTCATGCAAATAGAAACATCCATGTCAAATTTCGCAACCTTTTTATTGAATTTAAAATATGCCCAAAATATGTGATGGTACCGCTAGAGCTCGACACAAAAACTAAAAAAATTATAATTTTGACGTTATTGACAAGTACTTTTGACATGAAAATTTTAGAAAGGATTTTACATGCAAATAGAAAGACCCATGTCAAATTTCGCAACGTTTTTGATGAATTTTAAAATTTTTCCAAAAAATGTGATGGTACCCCTAGAGCTCGAGGCCAAAGCTAAAAAAATTATAATTTAGACATTATAGACAAGTAATTTTGACATGAAACTTTTACAAAGGATTTTACATGCAAATAGAAACATCCATGTCAAATTTCGCAACTTTTTTGATGAATTTAAAATTTGGCCAAAAAATGTGATGGTACCCTAGAGCTCGAGGCCAAAATTAAAAAACATATAATTTAGACATTATTGACAAATACTTTTGACATGAAACTTTTACAAATGATTTTACATGCAAACAGAAACATCCATGTCAAATTTCGCAACTTTTTTTATGAATTTAAAAAATGGCCAAAGAATGTGATGGAACCCCTAGAACTCGAAGCCAAAACTAAAAAATTTAAAAATTAGACATTATTGACAAGTACCTTTGAAATGAAACTTTACAAAGGATTTTACGTGAAAATAGAAACATCCATGTCAAATTTCACAACTTTTTTGATCAATTTTAAAATTTGGCCAAAAAATATGATCGTACCCCTAGAGCTCGAGGCCAAGACTAAAAAATTATATTTAGACATTATTGACAAGTACTTTTGACATGAAACTTTTACAAAGGATTTTAGATGCAAATAGAAATATCCATGTCAAATTTCGCAACTTTTTTGATGAATTTAAAATTTGGCCAAAAAAAGGTGATGGTACCCCTAGAGCTCGAGACCAAAACTAAAAAAACTATAATTTAGACATTATTGACAAGTATTTTTGACATGAAACTTTTACAAAGGATTTTATATGCAAATAGAAACATTTTTATGTCAAATTTTGCAACTTTTTTGATGAATTTAAAATTTGCCCAAAAAATGTGATGGTAGCCCTAGAGCTCGATGCCAATACTAAAAAAATTATAATTTAGACATTAGGGGCAAGTAGTTATGACATAAAACTTTTACAAAGGATTTTACATGCAAATAGAAACATCCATGTCAAATTTCGCAAACTTTTTTGATGAATTTTAAAATTTGGCCAAAAAATGTGATGCACCTCTGGAGCTCGAGGCCAAAACTAAAAAAATTATAATTTAGACATTATTGACAAGTACTTTTGACATGAAACTTTTACAAATGATTTCACATGCAAATAGAAGCATCCATGTCAGGTTTCGATTTGATGAATTTTAGAATTTGGCCAAAAAATGTGATGGTACTCTAGAGCTCGAGGCCAAAACTAAAAAAAATTATAATTTAGACATTATTGACAGTTACTTTTGACATGAAACTTTTACAAAGGATTTTACATGCAAATAGAAACATTCATGTCAAAATTCGCAACTATTTTGATGAATTTAAAATTTGCCCAAAAAATGTGATGGTACCCCTAGAGCTCGAGGCCAAAACAAAAAAAAAATATAATTTAGACATTATTGACAAGTATTTTTGACATTAAACTTTTAGAATGGATTTTCACGCCAATAGAAAAATCCTTGTCAAATTTTGCAATTTCTTTGATGATTTTAAAATTTGCCTAAAAAATGTGGTGGTACCCTTAAAACTCGAGGCCAAAACTAAAAAAAATTATAAATTAGACATTATTGACAAGTATTTTTGACATGAAACTTTTACAAATGATTTTACATGCAAATAGAAACATCCATGTCAAATTTCGCAACTTTTTTGATGAATTTATAAATTATAATATGGCCAAAAAATGTGATGGTATCCTTAGAGCTCGAAGCCAATACTAAAATATATATATATTAGACATTATTGACAAGTAGTTTTGAAATGAAACTTTTACAAAGAATTTTTAATGCAAATAGAAACATCTATGTCAAATTTTGATAGACTATGGCGGATACCTCTAGGCAATTTTTTGGACGGATCTGGATATCTTCAAACGGATCGGGTCGACTTTGGGTCTTGAGAGGTTTTTGTGCAAACGAAGCTGTGCGCCACAACATGCATGCCGAGTCCACTTTGGTGACTTGGATAGGATTGAAGTATTATTTCCCATGTTTTGACTAAACAAACCGGCCTTGAATTGCCAAGCAGCTAAGAGAGAATAATTCCCTTGTTGAGGATTTGACTTGGCTACTTGGCTTGTATACATTGAGATATAGTAAAAAAATTATTCAAGAAAAAGAAAATACAGCGCGCGCAATGTGCAGTGTGAAGACAATTAATTTAATTAGTGATAAGGATATATACGGAGTTATTAACACCCGCCCTATTTATTTGAATTGAGATTAGCTTGTGGGAGTTGTTCAATTTTAGATGAATGTGTTTTTGTTTTTTAAACAATAATAATATGGGAAAAGCAGTGGTGAATAAGCAGCCATCAAAGGGGAAGATGTTGATCTTGAAGTTGGTTCCAAGATCCGTTGCCACGTCGTTCCAAAACCTGCCTGCTGCGGCGTTTATCCTAGGCGGCGGCAGAGACATGAGACCAGCTGCTGCAACGGCGGACCACCACCACCATCATCATCATCTCATCAAGACCGCCAACCCCAACCACCGGAGAGGATTCTCTGGTGCTATTGTTCGGGCAGAGGGCGGAAGACAATCAGGTTTTACGGGTGCTAATGCCCACCACCACCATGGAGAACCCTGCTCGCCCAAAGTTTCGTGCATGGGTCAGCTCAAGCAAAACAGCAGCATCAGCAGCAAGAAGAAGAAGAAGAAGAAAGATAAGGACTTGGTCATTATTGGGTCTGTAGCGACTGAGAAATCTTCCCCGGCTGCTGCCAGGAGAGTTGTGTCACCATTGCACGGGCGAAGGTGGTCTGATGCTTCGGCAGCAGACAAAGCGCCGCCGCCGCTGCCCCCTAGTTTGGGTCAGATGAAGCGCTTTGCGAGCAGTCGAGAGACGCTACGCAGTTATTGTTCAGACAATGACGACTACGAATGTTGTCCTAGTTCTCATCATCTGCCGCAGATTGCCAGTCTTCCATCATCAATTGATGATGTTGTTTTACCAAATAATGATGTCGTCCTTAGAATTGGTGAAACAACGCCAAGGAAAGAAATCAACCTGTGGAAAAGGAGGATCATGATGATGCCGCCTCAACCCGCATTCACATCATTACTTGATAATTACAGCAACAATTAGTACGGAGTAATTAATAAAGCTATATATCTACTACCTACCTACATATAATCTCTGTCTTGTTAATTTATCCCAAACTAAATCTTATTAATTTCTTTACATATTTATCATTTGCTAGTGTAAATATACTACAGTAATTAAGAATAATAATCATTGTGCATCGAACTTGTTTGCTTTCCTGGTAAAGAACAAATAATGTACACACCACACTTTTCTGTTTACGAAAACTTAAAATGGCACATGCTCAATTAATGGTGAGGACAGTTAGGTTGAATGATGTTAACAACACACAATATAATGAACCTAGCTAGCAAGCTAGCTATATATGCACTAACTAATTAAACATACAAAGACGATGCAAATTTAATTAGATGGAGACCCGGCCCCTTCATGGCTAAGTTCATCAGCTTGATAAATCTGCATAGCAGCTACAGGATGAAACTGGATGACATCATCAAAGATCTTCTTCTATATATTCCAATGCCAGATTTTGCAAACTAGCTGTTGGGAGTGCCAAAATGGAATTAATATCTACAGTTTTTTGTGTTACCTCCTGACTTGGACACCACCATATTGTTGTGTATTCTTCTCCTGGACGAGGTATCAACTAACGACGACGATGCCTTGTCTGTCCGTAATAATGGGGCACAGGGTTTTTGTTGGTATGAAACGGAGGCAGAAGAAGCCCGTCTCTGCGGATAATGTCCTCTCCGGCTGATGAGCTCTGCAGCTGCAGCAGCACGCCGTCGTGCGGCATCGTCTACGTACAGCAGATCATCTATCCTCGCAATCAAGTTGAACGATATGCTCTCCAACACCCGAGAATAGCTCTCCAGGATCGATTTCCCCACATCCTACATATACACACCTATCACCTTGTTAATATGTGTACAGCCTAGCTAGCTAGCCACTTCCCTTTGGTGGCTACAACATTAAACCCAAATAATCCCACAAAAGTAGCTAGGGTCTGAAGGCGTGTATGTAATGCTGACATTACGCCTACTTCAAAGTAGAGAGGTTGTTCCCAAGGAACACACATACTGACACTATCTATACGCAACTAGACCCTGAGCACATAGAGTACAAAATTGTCCTTTGGTCACTAGCTAGCTTATTATAAAAGACTATTAGTTACCTTGTTGTGCTGAATCTTTTGCATGTCGAGCGTAGTTTGGCGGAGGCCAGGTAGAGTTAGTTTCATGCTCCTAAGGATGTTCTCTGCTCGTTCCGACAAGACTTTCTCCCTTTCTTTGCTGTAACCAACAAGGCCTTTCATCGTGCCACCCCACCCGCTTTTTGCTGGATTCGGTTGCTTCTTCTTCTTCTTCCTCTTCCGGTGGTGTTTCTGCCTCCAGATATGCATAGCAGTCTCAACTCTATTAGCTATTTCTGAAGCTGTGTACTCTGACGATAGGTCCAAATAATCAAGAAGGCACTCTGGGGACAATTGCCCAGTAGAGATGTCATTGTACAGGGTTTCACCTAAACACTCTTTTCCGCTCTGAAAAAGAAAGCACTGTAAACTTTAGTGATACTGGTTTATGTGCCAAATGCCATTTGCAGTACATAAGTCACAAAAAGAAAAGACTTAAAGCTTTTGAGGTTCCATGCTGGGCCTAATTTCAGTGAGCACCAATCTAAAAGAACAATTCATCCTAGATGGAAGGAAAAAAGAACTAATCCAACACAATGGCATGACCAATTGACCATAATTAGTATTCTGATCCCTTGGGTTTCAAATTAGTGGCACTGGTTTATATTATGTACAATGTTTAAGAAGGAAATATACATGCAGAAACACTAGGTAGGTTGGTGACCAAGAGAACACAATCAACAGATTATAAACTTGTGAAACTAAACTCTTTCATGGGTTGGACTGTTGGAGGGACTGAAGAATATTTTAGACAAAAGGGATGTTAATAAACCATTCACTAATTAGTCTATTTGCATTCTACTATTAGTTATTAAAAAGAACTGAAGCCCTTCTTAATTACCTTGGGCAAGCTCTCCAAATAAGCTTTTGGCACTTCCATCTCAAACAAAACAGTGGTGTTTATTGCCAAAGCAGCCTTGAAAATTTGGGTTGCACACTCCCTGCATTGAAGCAATTGGTTCCTTGTTTTTTCAGACAAACCATCGGGTGGGACCTTGGGGAACGGTAACCGCCCTCCCTCTTCTTGAAGCCTAACCGAATGCCTGTGCGAGGATAGAGAAGAAGAAGAAGAAGAAGAACGAGGGCACGTTTCAATCTGCTGTTCAACATAACAGAATCCAGGGTCACGAAAGCCATCAAACATGTTAATAAGAATGGCATCCAGTTTCTTGAGTGCGGGGATGTTGATGTATAGGTCTGAGCGCGGTTGAGGCACCATGACTTCAAAGGTCCCTCCACCATTTGGAGATTCCTGCATTGAAGGAACAAGCTCCACTATAGAATCACTCACAGAGAGAAGCCATTCCATCTCCCGGCCCCAAGCAGTTTTCTTTCCGGGAGTCAAGGGCTCCAATTTCCAGAGCTCGCCGAACACCTTTGCTGCAAAAGTTTGTTTTGGGAAACCCCAAATTGCAGATTACAATGAGGTATATAGTACATATGTATATTGTTAAATGAACAAGACGAATACGGAGTACTCTGTATATAATAACATGAGTAATTTCTCCTTCCATTTATTGTCAATTGGTATTAGTTTGAAAACTCTGCAATTCTACAAAAACAAAAAAAGGCTAAATGGGAAGGGACAAACATACCAGCAAGATTTGTAATAGCATTGGAAATAGCAAGAGCAGTGGACACTCCCTTTCCACCACCGCACATATCTTCCCCTAACAACAGTTTTGCAAATCGATCCTTCATCAATTCAACTTCTGCAAACAAATGAAACATGAATTAAGAATGATTCTTCCCTCTAGATATATGTCCCATTAATTGCATTCTTTCAAAACACATTGGATTCTCACCTGACATTTCGGATTCGGGTTTACGGGGCTTGAGCGGCGGCGGAGGAGTGGGGGAAAGAGGCGGCTGGCGACGGCAGGAAAAGCTGGCGCTAGAGGTGGAGCTCTCGGACTCGCTGACGTCAGCGCTGACGCTGTAATCGTCGAACCGCTGGCTTTCGGCATCAAACTCAACGTCGGATGAGTCGCCGCTTTCCATTCCGGCAGGCGGTGAATTGAATTAATAGGGAGGGAGCAATAAATTCGGTGCCGGGAGGTGATCGGGATTCAGGCGTACAGTTGATTGAGGGAGAGAAGAAGGGAGGGAACTGAACGTTTGCATTGCAGGCGGACATATATTACTCATTTGGGACGGGACGAAAGAGATGAAAGCGAAGAAAAGCAGTCAGTAAAGCAAAAGAAGGGCTCGTCTTTCAAGCTCACTGTCTCCTGTCTCCTTCCTTCCTTCTTTAGTTTTTCTTTTCTTTCTAAATGAAGAAATTCCACATTAAATAAAATGTATATTTTGATTTTATTATTCCTAGAATTAAATATTCCATTTTTAATTTAAAAAAAATGAATTTATCAATTATTTTTTTCTTTCTAAAAAAGAAATTACTCCGTATATTCTTCACTCTATTTGTTTATTATCGTCAACTCTTGTTTTGTAGAATCTTTGATGAATTTTTAATTATGTAAGTTTTATTTTTTATTCTTATACCGATCTTTAAATAAAATTAATTGAGAAAAACTTGAATTTTCAGTTTGTTTTGTGTAAAATGTAAAATATTTTGAAACAGATGGAACATTTATTATACAAACTGAAATAATTTCTTATATTTATTACACAAACTAAATTTTAGTTATATTGATTTGAAATTAATTTCAGACAAACATTATAAATTGAAACATGAGCCTTATTTCAGAATAAAGGGATTCAGATTAAATATTTTATTTACAAAATATACTTTTAAATATTTTTAAACAATCTTAAAAATAAATTTTCAAATTTATAAATTTATATTTCTAATTTTAATTTTTTAAAAAGTTCTCATCTTAGAACATTTAAAATTAGTTTTTTATATTTAATAAGTTTTTTTTAAATGGACCAATTTTGGAAGATAACTTATTACAATGATCATTTTGAAAAAATACTCTGAATTTCAAGAATGAACAAAACATCCCCCATTTAGGCCCTATTTTTTGGATTGGAAAAATTAACTTCCAATATTTTCTAACTGCTTGTAGTTTTTTCTAACAACATTAAAAAGAATTTACATATGATGAATTTACAATGACATTATATATCTAAATTTATAACATATCACTTCAAATACAGACAAAGGTGAATTTTTTATCAAAAATTAAAGTTTTCTTACAAATTTATATGAGTGATCATTTAATCGAGCGGTTTTTGGATACTTTAATTATTTTAATATTCTTCAACTCCTTCTATTATCATCATGTGTACTATCATATTTTAAGTCTCAAAAGATTTTTTTGCATCTTTACTTTTATTAATTACGGAGTATAATATTTTTCAACATTTTTTCAAATTTATATAAAAGGTCAAACTGGCAATCTTTTATGGACGAAAGAAGTATTAAATTACATAATTTTGTAAAAACATTATCTTGACTATTCAATCCGGTCAGATTCAATCATATGTCTAGTTTTAATTTTCTTCAATTATTTAGAATCAACATTTGACATATAATAAATAAAAATATATAGTATATTAATTAGATAAAATAATATTTTTAATTTTTTTACAAGACAAATATAAAAGAATTTATTCTTGTATTAATATCTAATATCAATTTAATTTAATTAGTTATAACAATTTCTGAATTTTGTATACAAAAAGTCAATATTTTTATTAGGACTTGAGGTTGCATCTTCTTCATTCCCGCCTGCAAAACCGTCACTCTGTTATTATAAGTCCTGCGTCAGAATCAGCCACCAAAATGGACTCTTCCATTCAAACAAAAACTTCATAACTTTACGCACTGAATTGCGCTGCAGAAGGGTCGGCCGCCAATCAGCCGCCACCGCCTCGTCGGTCGCCACCACCACCTCGTGGCCTCCTTATGTTCGAGCAGCACCGCCAGCAAGACCGCAACAGTCAGGTTTTTTTATTATTTTTGTTTAGTTGAACACTTTAATAGTTTTACTTTTAATAGTTAAATATTTTGAGGAATTCCTATTTTTTGTTTTGGTTTCTAATGGAGAGATGATCTGTTATTTGTTAAACTTGTAATTAACTGTTTTCTGTTAAATTAGTGAGTTTATGATATTGTCATTATTTTGAGTTTATTTTGTCACTAGGAATTCCAGATGTGGATAAATTTGCTATTATACAACCAAAAGATTTGTTATCCTTAATTAGAGATGATTTTTTTGAGACTTAGGGTAAGTTTTGAGACTTAAACTATTTGAATACTTGTTTGAGATGAAATTTATTTCCAAAATTTTATATTATTTTATATTGTGTTAAAAAAAATTCGGGCTGCTGCCCTCAAACTCTTATAGCTTAGTTGGTGCCCCTTCAAGAGTTGCATGCTGGCTCCACCAATGAATGTGTGTACGCAGACTTTACTTCTACTTGGAAGTAGAGAGGTTTCCAAGAGACCCAAGCTCAAGGAACACAAAGAGAGATAGAGTGTGCCATAAAAAAAGAGATTTTGTGTGTAATTTGATTATAAAATAAATGGGGGTGGTATAAAAAGTATTTGAAAAAAGAGTAGGGATGGGTAGATTTAGAATAAGAGAGAGAGGGCATAAAACTGATTGAAAAGACAGAAGAAGTGATTGAAAAAGTAGGGATATTTGTGACTTGGTTATGCCAAAAAAGAAATATGACTTTAGTTTTAGGACACCTAATTTGAAAAATGGGGCTTTAGTTTTGGTATGAAGTGAGTACATTTATGGTCTCACGTGGTCACATCCAATGACTTTGTTTTCTGCCATTTTATTTTCAGGAAGCTGGAAATGAGGAGTGGAGAAGACAACCAATTAGTTGAACCTCTCTTGGATGATAACAATTCAAGAAAGTCTATAAAGGATGACTTAGTAACCTCTTACTCAAGTGCTGGGCTTTTCAGTGTTCTTACTTTTTCTTGGATGAGTTCCCTAATTGAGCTCGGAAACAGAAAAGCATTAGACTTTGACGATGTTCCTAAGCTTGACAGCATGGACAGTGTTTTTGCAACATATCCAATTTTCAGGAGTAAACTTGTTGAGTCGAATAGTGATGGTGTTGCTACGAGAGTTTCTGCAATGTCCCTTGTGAAGGCATTATTCTTGTCGGCCTGGAGAGATATTCTTTTGACAGGTTTACTTTCTATGGCGTATACATTAGCTTCATATGTCGGTCCGTATCTTATCGGTGAGTTTGTCCGCTGCCTTAGTGGCCAAGGGAAGTTCAGAAATCAGGGTTATCTTTTAGCTTTGGCATTTCTGGTTGCAAAGCTTGTTGAGCGCATTTCATATAGATGCAGCTTCTTTAAGCTGAAACAGATTGGAATGCGGATGCGTTCAGTGATTGTGACCTTGATATATCGTAAGGGCTTAACGGTCTCTTCTTTCCAGGAAAACACCAGTGGTCAGAAAATAAATCTTTTGACAATTGATGCTCAACAGATTGAGAGTTGTGGTGCCGACATTCATGAACCTTGGATGGTCATTCTCCAATTCGGGCTGGCTTTGTTCTTATTGTATGAGAATCTCGGGCTTGCATTTCTTGCTGCACTTGGAGGAACTTGTGTTCTTATGCTAGTGCAGTACCCGTTGGGAAAACTATACACAAATTTCAATGGGAAATTGATGGAAGCTAAAGATGAGAGAATCAAGGCAACTTCTGAGGTTTTGAGGAACTTGAGAATTATCAAGTTTCAGGCTTGGGATTTGAAGTTTTTGTCTAAGATCATGGAGCTCCGAAAGACGGAGGAAGGATGGTTGAAAAAATCCCTTTACACTTCTGCATTCACGACTTTCGTTTTCTGGTGTTCTCCCATTTTAGTGTCCGTGGCTTCTTTTTCTACGTGTGTGCTATTGAGAATCCCACTTGATTCAGCAAGGATCTTATCCGCACTTGCGACTTTTGGAATGCTTAACAATTCACTGTCAAGTATTCCATCCTTAATTTCTATGATTGCTCAGACCAAAGTCTCCCTCGGTAGAATATCACATTTCCTTTCTCTTGATGACTTGCGTACAGATGTTGTACATGAGATCACTAGGAATAGTAGTTCTGATACAGCAATTGAGATAACAGACGGTTGCTTCTCTTGGGATATCACAGCTCCCAATCCAACTATAAGAGGCATAAGTTTGAGGGTACGCCGAAGCATGCGAGTAGCAGTATGCGGCACCGTTGGTTGTGGCAAGTCTACCCTGCTTTCCTGCATTTTAGGAGAGGTTCCAAAAATCTCAGGCTCGGTTGAGTTGTGTGGGACAAAGGCATATGTTGCTCAGTCACCTTGGATACAGAGCGGGACAATTGAAGAGAACATCTTGTTTGGTAAAGAAATGGATAGGGGAAGGTATGAGAAGATATTGGAGGCATGTGCCTTGGAGAAGGACCTTGAAATCTTGCCCTTGGGAGATCAGACCATTATAGGTGAGAGGGGTATCAATTTGAGTGGTGGACAGAAACAGAGAATCCAGATTGCAAGAGCTCTCTATCAAGATGCCGATATCTATCTTTTTGATGACCCTTTTAGTGCTGTTGATGCGCATACTGGATCTCACTTATTTAAGGTGATGACGGGTTGTTCGTTTCGTACCTATAATTATTAAGCAATTTGAAGAAGCCAATTTTGTTTGTGTTGTTAAAAAACATTGCTAATCAAATAAATTTGTCTCACCTTTCTTCTTGCGACAGAGAGTTTTGCTTGGACTTTTGAGTACCAAAACTGTTGTTTACGTTACTCATCAAATTGAGTTTGTGCATGCTGCTGATTTGATACTAGTGAGTAATCACATCTTATAATTTATCCATTTATCTTTCCTATTGGGATCCTTTCACTCAGCATCCGTATAACTTCTGTTTAGGTAATGAAAGATGGAAGGATTGCACAAGCAGGAAAATATGACGACATTCTTAAATCAGGACCTGACTTTATGGAACTTGTAGGCGCACATGACATGGCTTTATCCACACTAGGTGATTCTGGGCGAGAAGATATAAGCAATTCTGAAGAAGATATCTTGGAAGAAGAGGATATGAAACCCAGTGATGATGAGATAGCTCCCAAGGAGGAAGGAGGACAGATTATTAAAGAAGAAGAAAGAGGAAAAGGGCAAGTTGGCTTCCAAGTCTACTGGAAA